TGGGCTTTACAGTGGTTTCTAAATATTTATTTCAACCTGTAAATCTCAGGTGCACAGATTGTTAAAGGATTAACAAGTGTACAGGTTCATGGCCAATTCCTGCATTATTACTGCGTGAAGAATATTCTTTTAGTTCTCAATATCAAATAAAATGGAAATAATAATCACTTTTACTGGAGCAAATTTTTATGGCTTTTATTTAAAATTAACTTGAAAAAGAATACTGATATGTAGCCTATGAATATTACATATTGGACATCTATGTGCATATGTATGAGCTGTGTGTTTATTAGTGACCAAGCAAGCTCAACTGAATCTCTGTGGAATAACTGACTTCTCATTTGAGTGTATTTTTGTGAATATGATTTCATTATTTTCTTTGTTAAGCTCTGCTCTCTAAAAGGCTAAGTATGTTATGGGTGTGTTTGGGCCATAAAGATGTCACAGCAAAACCAGGGTTGATTACTTTGATGTAAGCGTGGTATAGCAGCACTTTACTCCATTCTTCAGTCTTTTCTCATGGCATGCAACTCCAGCCATTGGCAGTTTGGTTCTTTTTTGCCCATGCTTTTCCTTAATAGATCCCACTGTAACTAATACATGCAACAGGCAGTTGTGGATGAAGCAGGTTTTCAATCACATTTTGGTATGTGTATCTTCGGATCTCAGTTATTCTACAGATACCCAAATACCATGTGATATTTCAGACATGAACTGATTTTTCCCTTTCACCCCAGATCTCTTCTTTAGTGATAGCATCGCAGTGCATGTTCCTGTTGAAAATCTTTTGCTATCACACTGAAAGCTTGTGTGTGAGAACCTCTGCATTTTTACTCTGAATATTATATATATATATATTTGCCTCTCAGCATCATGATTATACACAAATACTATGTAACTTAGGTGGCCCTGTAAACTTACAGATTACCTAAATCATATAATTGATGCCTGATACTAAGTTTAGACTAACTACCCTGTTGAAATGGCTGTGCTGAGGTTTTGGGTATAGTCTGGGCTGATGTCATGGGAAGAACAGGAACTGCAGCATTAATTTGAGGTATCTTGCATATTATTGCCTATGATACTACCAGTCACACAGATTATGAACATTTCCCACTTACTTAGGTTTTTTTTCCTAATCCCCTTTTCCAAATGTACCAATCTTTGTCTCATTAGACCAGTTTCTGAACACTTCTACTGTAGAGAGTGCTTAGAAGAAATAAGGGAGCAAATAATGACTCTAATTATTTGCTAGTTTAGTGCAAGGGAAAAAAGAAAGAGCTAGACCTTCTGATTAAACAAAATTACATAGAAAAAACAGTCATAAGCTTGTTAGTTTTAACGAATAGACTTACAGTGAATTTTTATGGAAAAAAAAGAAACCAAAGGAACTCATGAAAACCATTATTTTGCAAAATTGTTTTTGCTGGGGCAAGCTGCATTTCATAATTTTCTCTGGAAACAGTCAATATCTTGGACTAAGGAGAAGGAGGTTTACAAACCTTTATATAATGTGATGTATATTCTCAATGCTTATATTTACAGCTGTCTGCTTAATTGCTCAAGTCAATCTTCAGTGCTGTGTGTGACTGTTAATTCCAAGCTGTTCTCATATTCTCAGTGCTAGTAACCTCATAGCAAGTTTGTCCTGCTCAGCTTTGACCTACAGCCCACTTACTTGCAGGCTGACTAACATGAAGGCAATACTGAAGTTTTTTTAGAATGAATGGAAGTTGATGGTATGTTGCAGAAAATTGTGTTTTGGAGTCAAATTTTAAACAATCGTATAGTTGCAAGGTATCAATAACGTGGCATGTGAGAAAAAGGAAACTCAGTAATTTACAGTCTTCTATTTATTCTTCCTGCTGGGTTTGATATAGCAATACAACTTAAAATAAAAAAAAAAAAAAGGTTTCATTTGTTGTGTACAAATTTCTAGGCACGTAATGGTAAAGCTTGTGGTGTAGAGTCCCCCTCACCCCCTCATCACTGTTGTGGATATATTTGGCATTCTGTGCCTTACAACAAATGAGCTAGAATTAAAGAATATAACAAGGGAAGGGTATTGCATTGCCTATTTCAAAGTTGTTCAGTTAATAGGCTTCTTAATTTGACTTAAAAGAAAATAAATATAAGTTTATGTGTGTCTCTGAATACAAAGTTTTCTTGAAAGAGTCCTGAGAATTGGCGGGAGATAATTGATGTCTGCTAACAATATAAACTTAAAATTTCTAACAACTGTATGAAACTGTGGCATAGCATAAAGATGCATTAGAGGTTAAGATAAAAGTTCTGAAACAGGAAACTAAAGCTATTTACATATACTCAGGTCTATGTGCAAATACACAATAGCTAGTCTTATTAGCCCTGAAACATACCTTTCTATAAAGTTTTCTTGAACTCATCTGGAAATATCAATTATCCGGTATTAGCAGTTTAGGTAAGTGTTACAGTTCATCACTACCACATAAACCCTTGAACTTGTATGGAAACACTTCTGACATAACTGCTCCATTTACTCCCTCCTGAAGAATGTGCTGATTTTAATTGATGGGTTTTAGCAGGTGTTTTATATTTTCCAACTTTGTGGATAAATATACAGTAATTATTCAATATTGACACTTCTAATTTAATGAGCACTAGAATCATTCTTTGAGGGAAGTAACCACTAAGAAAATGAGAAGTGGCTTAATGAGGGTAACATTTTTATAACTTGATCAACTGCAACTAATCTAGTAATGTTTATTTCCTTAACAGAGCTAGAAATTTGTGTAGAGCTTGTCTTACACTTGTATTCTACTAAAACAAGTCTTAGCAGTGTACAGTTAACAGTATCTAGTTACTTCTTTGAAAACAGAGACTTTCAAAGTGCAGGTGTACTTCCCACATTATTTCAAACTTCAGCACTGCTACTAATCCATGTTTATATAACTGAATTTTTAAAAGATTGAAGGTTAAGAGGTGCTCAGCATTTGGAAAACAAAATGCCTTACCTGCGTCTACTATTTTAATCAGCTGTCTAATTTGAGACACTAAAGCTTGAAAAATATGATTAAAATTCTAAATTAACTGTTCATAGACAACTCCATTGTTACGGAGTGTATTTAGATTGCTCATTATTTTCTGAAGTTATACTTGAAAAATCTGAATATGCCCTAGAATTCATACTGCTTATACTGTGTACCTTTCTAAAATACAGTTTTGGATATTAAGTATACTACTGTTGAAGCAGTAATGGCATGCAAGATAGGTATTTGGTATGCCTATGGTGATTTTTTTCAGGATCTAGGTGAAATTACGTTTATATACTTGTTTCAAACTGCAGACACTTTTAAGATTTTGGCACTGATGCTGTTGACGGATCAGAAAGGAGCTGTCAAAAGACATGGAATCATATTAGAACCGTAAGACCTTTGTTATATTTGCACACTTTGCATATGGTGTACAGGTAGTGTTGGTATATAGATGCTTCTCAAAGTTGGACACAGAGAGAGCAGGATTTGCAATGTTAAGCTCTGTCTTACGTTTGTAAGTAATAGATGTCATCATATGCATATATGTGTGACTACTGAAAAAAATCCTGCTGTGCAAGAATACTTCATTATGTTGTGCAGTCTGCCCTTAAAAGAGGTATTTTCAAAAGCAGCAGTAATTCAGTGAATTTGGTTGACTTTAAGTCTTTGGTTTGATTATTTTTTTTTTTTAAGACTTTATGCAACACCAAAATTTTGACAATTCCAGGTTATAGGTTCATGCATTAAGGTTTTTAGAAAAAATTTTCAAAGCCAGTATTGAAATCAGTGGGAGTTTTTCTTGTGCCCTAACTACCATTTTCTAAAAGATATTACCTTAGCAGCCTGTAATACATGCAGATGGTTTGTGGAATAGATGTATAAAGATACTGAAGAATGTAAATCCATTTCCTAAGAAAGCTTACATCTGCCCACATGTCATCAGAAACTTGGACAGCTTTATCTCCTAAGAATATGTAGGCTTTGTGGTCTTCAGAACATTTCTTTCTGAAGAAGATAGGACGACGCAGTTTGTTAAATCGTGAAAATATTGTTGCAGCAAGATACTTATTTGGGGTATACCAGCTACAGGCTAATTCACTGAGGATGTTGTGGAGGTGATTTGTTTCAGTCAGATCATACTGGTCACTGAAATCACAATTAATTTCTGAATTGCATTTTGTCACCTGCATCCAATGCTGCCCATGGAGAATGCTGCCTCTGTGTGATTACATATACATTTATTTATATAACTGAGGTAAAAAACTGTGCTGAACAAAGGCCTGATGAGACCTTTTTCTCAAGCCTAGAAAAAAGCACAAAGCTACTGCAAAATTAAACAAGGTTTGAAAATATGACATCAAGGAAAAATGGAAAGATTAATGCTTTTTTCCAAAAAATTTCATTTCTAAATGAAATGAAAATACTAAATTACAAAACAACCAATCAGCTGCAGTGATAATACCAAAACCAAAAATACCAAAAACTTATTTAACATGGGGTAAAGTTCATTTGTAAATCATATTTAAATACCATATTGTAAAAAAAATGCAATGACTAACCTGTATAAATTATACCTTGATTGGCTGGCACAGCTTCCTTTAGGAGTGTGAGCTGTTGGTAACATGATGACAAATGAACACTAATGAAAGGTAATAGGTGTTAGAAAGCATACTCTTATTCATAAGTGCTACTCTGCTATCTGTCAATGCATTTTAAAGCATGATGACATGGTTTTCAAATGTTCAAAGAACTTTTTTTTCTTGCAGCATTATGTACATTTAATGTTTTTAAGAAATTTGTCTAATGAGTGTCCAAGTTGGGTAAAATGCTACATGTTATCACACCTGTTGTCACTGGTATTTTTTTCTCACGTTAAATTGAAAAGGGCTTGCATGTTCATTTTCAGCTTTCCCTTCATGCACACATTTTTCTGAGTTACTGTTTCATATTTATTTTCATTTTTCCATTAATTTTTTCCCTCTTCAGGTGCAATCTAGCTCCTGTGGTGGAGTTTGCTGCCGATGTGGGAACTAAATCTGATTTTATTACCATGAACCCATCAGTTGTACAAAGAGCATTTGGAGGCTTTCGGAATGAGAGTGACAGAGAAAAATTTGTGCATAGACTATCCATGCTGAATGACAGTGTCCTTTGGATCCCTGCTTTCATGGTCAAAGGCGGAGAGAAGCATGTGGAGTGGGTTAATGCATTAATCCTTAAGAATAAATTGAAAGTGCGAACTGCCTATCCATCACTGAGACTTATTCATGCTGTCAGAGGGTAAGTGTCTGGAAAAGACTGGTCTGTCCTTGGCACAATTAAGCTCATAACTAGAATTCCTAGCAGGCAGAAAAAAGCTCAAGTAAAATGTTTAAAGGAGTATGATATTTCCATTATTGTTGTAATGGATTGCTTTTATGATAAAATAAGTTTGTTTGGTAATAAATGTCATCCACACATTTAGCCTGCAAACAACCAAAATACATTAGCACAATAACTTTTCACTTTCACTTTTATGTACAAAAATGTTTTATGATCATTATAGTGATAAACTAATGAAAAAATAGTCTGAATTCAAAAGATATCTGTAAGTCATCAAATCAGAGGACAATGAAAGTGCTACATATCTTCTTTTGGGCAAGAGATAAAAAACGTAATTTAAATAGCATAGGGGGTAGGGTGACAATCATGTAAGTAATGAAGTCTGGCAGATCTGAAAATAATGAGCTCTTTCCTAAAATGTCTAGGATTTTGTAGCAATCTTTCTCCTTTTGAATTTGGCCAGATGCTTGGGCAATTCAAAAACATTGATCAGAATCACTGAAAACATTCATGTAACCAGTTGTTAAAAAAAAATGCATCCATGCTTTGTGCAGAGACTTTTTTTTTCAACCCCATAATTAAACAAGACTGTCAGATGAAGGCTCCAGTGTCACTACAAGTAAGAGTATATAGGGCTATCCATGAAAAACATTCAGAAGATGACGGTAGTGCAATATCTCTTTGTGCAGTGAATTATGACAATATGATAATATTCAGCTTGTGTTCCTTGAACTATGCTGTCTGTTTGTGGGGTTTTGGGAGATGCCTCTCACTTTGGGAGATTAGTGTTGGCTTGTACACCAGTAACTGATTATGTATCCACCTAAAAAGTCATTTCTGTTCCAGCAACAGAGATAAGATCAGAGGGGATGTTTGAACTGTTACCCCAATCTAGTATGAGAGTATGAGAATAAAGCTTAGAAATATGTTGTTTTTCAGGATACTAGGACTTTTGAATATGCTTTTCTCCTTCTGCCATGTCTCAAATAGATTAACTGCTGTGTTCTTCATGTGGTACACTTCTGGCACTGGAAAAAAAAATCTGTTCTCTTTGGAATTTGGAAATCCTTTGGGAATCCTTTAATTTTTTACTGGGTTGCTCAGTTTCCACAGTTGTTGGGATAGTTGTTTTATTTTACAGTTACACTGTAGCTATTTACGGGCCTTGATTGTGTTGAATTTTCAAGTATTCAAAATGCCTATAACACATGGAAGGGTGTAGTGGTTTTTGCATATGTGTATAAATCTGAATAAATAAGATTACTTCCAGTTTACAAACAGCTGTTCTCATTTCCATCTGCTGAATCTGGGCAAAATTATCAAATGTGAATGGTAATTCAGAATGTGCAGTCTTTCAGATGGCCAATTTGAAGGTCCTTTTGGGGGCTTTGTCTTAAAAAAAAAAAAAATTAGGAGCTACATTGTCTCCCTGAAAGAAAGGCAACAAAAGCTCTGCCATCAGAATTGGTGTTAAAATTAAAACTACACTGTATTTCAGATTATACCTAGCAGTGTCATCTGATATGACTGCGCAAATTTGTCAGATTGTTGAATCTGTGCTCTAAAGCTTAGGTCCTCCACTGCAAACCTCGTTGTTTAATCACGTTGCTTTCCCTTTTTTGTTCTTGTAGAAGTAACCAAATATCATGTGTTCTTTACTGTTCTTTTTTTGTAATTTGAGTAAGAACAAAACAAGAAGTCAAATTTATCTTTGGTCTCACTCTTGACTTTAGGAAGTGAGGTGCATGAGGTGAATATGTCTTTGTGAGTGAGGTTTGGAAGTGATACGGTTAGCAGTAATACATTTGGAATAAATATTCTTTAGATTTCTTAGAAGGCAATCTTAAAACACCAGCCCATAATAATGAGGTTTGTATTACAGCAAAGTCAAATCTAGCGAAAGATTATTGTCTTTTTACAGGTTGAATTACATCTCTCTAAGATCTGTCAAGGTTTATATGTCAAATGGAATACCATGGCAGTATGAGAAATTCATAAAGCAAAAACTGTTCTTAAAATGTGTCTGAGTTAAAAAATAATATTTTATACAAAGAAGTAAAGTAACTTGAAAAATAAAGTAAAATTAAAAGCTGCATAATCCTTTTATCAAACAGTCCATTTTGGGGAGTAAGACTTGGGAAAGTTTAAGCAAGTTACAACTGCTAACTTCAGTTTGAAACTAATGGACAGCTAAGTCTGCTGCCATTTAAAACAGTGTGTGCAACTTAACATACGTAGTTTTAAGGAAAATCTTCATAATATTGTATGTATTGTGCTCATGTTTATTTCAAATTCAATGTAAACTGAGCCTCTGAAAAGATAGTACCTAAAAGTAACTCCTATAAAACACTCATTTTATGAATCTGAACTATTTTTGTATATTTGTTTGTATATTTGATGCTTTTGCAAGCTCTCTGCTTGCAAGTTTATGTCTTTGTGACCATGTTAACAGTGATGACGTAGTGGAGGCCTGTGCTGCTGCAAAACAGAAAGGATAAAATAAACCTAATGTGAAGATTGCTGTTAGTTGAATGAGAAGCGAAAACAGGAAATGTACCCACAAAACCTGCATGTTAAAACACACAGTAAGACCTGTGCAGACCATCTAATCTCCTTCATAGGGTGCCTGAGCATATGCGCAAGACTGAGAATGCAAGGCTTATGTGACATCTTTCAGCCTTTTAAGCCGTAAGAGGGAAATGGAGTTTGAGTTACTGATGAAAGCATGATAAGGAAAGCTGAACTGCAAGAAGTGGTTTTTGTAGACTGTCTTACTTTACACAAGGAAACCACTTGCATCGGTAGCCTTTGTTTTGTAGACTCTGAGCATTCTCAAATAGTTGTATCTTTGTGTTCAAATGTAGCTAAATGATTTTCATTAAGGGGTACAAAAGTGTAGAGTAGACACATTGGGAATGTAGCATTTGCAAGCATTGTTCTGTATTAATATTTGTAACATCCCTAAACTCCTCTTAACTTCCATACAAGTAAATATTCACTCCTTTTGTTTCCCGTTTCTTGCCTTGATAATTCCAAAGCATTCTGGCTTTACTCTTTATTTGAGTGTGCATATTTTGCATTAAATAATTTATATGAAGGTAGTTAGAGCTGTTTTAAATTCGACTTTAATGATAAGAGAATCAGTCAAGAGTCGGTGTGGGTCTTATCTTGCTTTTTATATCTTGAAACCCCCCAAATTCATAACAACTTAAACACAGTGAGATTTTTGTTAGACCATGACAAAGATGTAATACCAGGAGGGTCTACTGAAGAACTGTTCCTCAACTTGAAAGCATATTCTTATGGAGACGAATAAAAGGTGCAGTTTTATGTTTAATAAACTAAAAGATTCCATTAAGCTGTTTCAGAAGACTTACGCACCCATGTGTTTTTCCTATACCACAGATATACGTGTAGATGTGGTATACCACAGGGCTATACCATATCCATATCATTCAGCTGGTTGAAATGGGGCTTTTATTTGAAACTTCAGCATATTATATTGCAACTACAGATCTTCATAATCTAATAATATAAAACACTGATACAGGCCTAAAACAGCCTAAAAAGAGAAGCTGTCTATCCAAAAAAGTTACAATTATACAGTCTTCCTTTTTTTGGAAGAACAAATAAATTCCCAGTGTAAATTTAAATTGCTATCAAGAGTTCATTGATTTAATGCACCTAAAATGTTATTAAAAATATGGAAATGCCATGTATTGTGGGCTAAGTCATTTAGTAGCTAATCATCAATAAAGTTCATAATTCCAACCTGACAAATTACGCACTAATAAAGACATTTAATGCTGAAGGGTGCAGGCTGATGGCCACAAGGTTTGGAAAGTATTGTCTCTATTCCTTTTTGTCTGTATCACAGTGCCAAATTGTTCAGGCAAATTAGGTTTTTTCTTCATCAGTCTTTAAAGCATAAGGCACAGGCAGTTTCTAAAGACAGAACATTAACTGTCTTAAACTTCTGATCTAGTGAGGCCAAATTCTGTACTCCTATGTACTGGTTTACATAGTAACAGGGCAGTTTTGCTGCAGTCACATACGGCACTGAAATTCGCTCTCCTATTTTTCCTTCTCTTTTAATGAAAGAAACTTTCTGAGCAGCACGTAGTATTTGGGAGTAGCTTTTGGTGAGATAGTAGAATAATGACTGCATTCTGAGATCATTATGGAAAACTTTATTTTTTCCTGTCCATTTGTGCACTTTTTGGGTCATAAGAAAGGTAATGTGGTGTTTGAAAAAGAAATTGCTTTTTTGCAGATTTCACACCTTATTAAACTTCTGTGAGTGATGGCCACTCCTCTAAAATCTCAGAGGAATTTGAAGTTTTGAGAATAGGTTATGTAAATACTCAGTCCAACATGATAACTCCTTTTTTAATTGGTAGCATATCTTAAATAGCCATTGGATTCACATTCTTTACTTCGGTAGATTTAGATCAAGTGATAATTTATTTTCTCTATTCTACTTTTGTACTTATTGATCAACAAGTTTGTATTTCAGGTTAGAATATTGGATTTGGAAAGTTCTTTGCGGGCCGTTGCATGATTTTTTCATTTTATAAAGCTGTTTTATGGAACTTTTAATGTAATGGTGCACACATTATTGACAAAATAATTGAGGTAATCAATACGTAACAGTTCAAGATGGAACTAGAATCTGTAAATGAAGAGCTTAACTGATTAAAAGGATTTATTTGCTCCCTAATGCCACTGCCAGGAAGGTCAATTTTAAAGTAATTATAATGAGCAAACCACTCAACTTTTTTTTTAAATTGCATTTAACAACAAATTTCACAAACTTTGATTTATTAATATGCCTGAGATTTAATACTGAACTCTTTCATTAGGATTATTTTTGATAATATTTTCCAAGTGAGATGATACTCTGTGGGGTGTGGACAGTGTCTGTATAGAGTCTGGTCTCAGTAGCAGAGCTCTGTTGG